CTCTGATGGAAGCTGTGCAAAAGCTAGTTTTGCAACAGAATTTAGTTTCGGATAAGGATATGTGGTTACAGATAATGTATACCACATTATTTGTTTTAGTGTTAACGCTAAATTATAATATTCTTGATAAAAACGTCGGTACAGTGATCTGGTTTCTGTTCGTTGATAACTTGCACCCAAACCGAAAAAGCCAGGATTGCTTGTTTCGCTTACAGATCGCGTACTACGAAAGTAACCTTCGACAGACGTGATGAGTATGGTACCATCTATCGAAAACGATCGTGGTGTATTGATAGCAAAGTATCCATTTGGTAGTGAATAGGTTCTTGTAGAATTTAGTGGATCCGTGTACTGTTCCTGTTCGGTCATGTTTGTTTTATCTAATAAACACAATTTTGTCTCTAAAGCAAAAATATCATATCCACACCCGACGACATCTAACCCTGGAATGGGTCCTACTGTTGATGACAAAGATAATGGCAGTGACTTTGATGTTCTTCCCCACGTTAACTGAAACAAAGTTGGCAGCTTTCCATTTTTAATATAATAATCAATCGTTAAACGTAAATGCTTTTGGACTTGTGGATATTTATATAGTAAATTTGATATTAATGACACTGTTCGGTTTATGACAACTGGTTGTTTGGCGACATTAGCTAACCAAGTGCTCCAAGTCGATTGAGAGTCACCGTGACTTTTAACTGAAGGGAGATAATCACTTCGGCTGTATGAATTCTCCCGAAACTCAGTTGTTGTTTCCTCGTTTACGTGTCGCCTACCACGAGGGGACGGGCTTCTGTTGGTACCACGAGACGGTAAGATTTTGTAATTACTATAAGGTATAGGGGTACGGGGCTGTGTTGGCGGATAAGGATCATCTGGACCAAATAAATCATTGAGCAGTTCTTCATATCCAGATATTTGAACGCTCCATCCTAATTGTTCATTGAGCTCTTCCCGAGAATATTTCTTGACATAATCTTTGTTCATAAATGTATAGATATTAGCTCTTCCACCCACAATAGCTCGAGAGATATAATGTGTACCGTACATTAGAATGAATTCGTTATACAATGTCTGTTGTTCTTGTGTAGTCGGCGTTTGAGCACGGTCATTTAACATTGTTATACTGTCATTAAATAACGAGTCGTATCTGGACAAAAAAAGCAGTAGATGAAACTAATGAACTGCTTAATGAGCACATGGAAAACATTCCATGTCCAATTATTGCTCTCAAGCTTATAATCTCGGTTATAATTCTAATACTAAGCCGTCTTTTAGATATTAATTGTTTGGCTTCTGACCAGGGCGTTGCTAACTGTGGGAGATACTATGGTTTGGTTAATTTATTCAGGTTCTGATGGAAGCGGTTTAGAATAACCATTTGCTATACAAATAGCATAGGAGTCCTTTAAAGGTAATCTCAGCGACCACTTCGAAGTCAAGAATATTATAATTTAGCGTTAACACTAAAACAAATAATGTGGTATACATTATCTGTAACCACATATCCTTATCCGAAACTAAATTCTGTTGCAAAACTAGCTTTTGCACAGCTTCCATCAGAG